ATATTGATAAATTCATTTGGTGGTGAGAAATAATCGACTGTGCAGTATTTATTTTTATGCATGCGATATTGCAATGTATTTATAGACACTAATTAAGAGTCGTTCGTAGTAGGGGGTATGCGGCTGAGGGTGACATGTCTCAAGGGGTACGTGGCTGGAAAAAGTTTGGGAAGCACTGCTCTATGGTATCAAGCAGGTATGGAGGAGATCAAAACTCCAGACATCCAGAGGCCCCCAGAACACAAGAGACCAAGGAAGACCCACAGATTGGTCACTCATCCAAGTGACTTCTTCAGTCTGGTTTCAGTCAGTATGCAAATGTACTGTTTATAAGGTTGAGGGAACCTGCAGTCAGCTGAGACTGAAGAAGTCACTTGGATGAGTGACAAAACGTTTCTCCCACTGAAAATGCTACTTCCAGATGAACAGAATCAACTTTTGGAAATGTATTTAGCTGGATGATTGAGAATGCATCAAAACATTCCTAAGCATTGCTGAGGAGTGGCAGAAATGCTAAGGATATTCACAATGGAGCCATTTTGATGATGTTGTATTTAATTTGTGAAATTATAAAACCAAATCCAAAATGTCAATTCTGTGTCTTTGAATATATCACTCTCTATAAGCACTGTTTTATAGAGAGTCAATTGTTTGCTTGATCACATTTGTGAAAAAGTTCATCTCATTAGAATGTAGTTTTGTTTACACTATATTTATGCTACATAATAATGCTTGGACAGCTTGTGATTAAGATTTTGGGGAGTTTTTTTGTTTGTTTGTTTGTTTTCCAAGGTGGCTGCTGCTTCAAACCAGAGACAAGCAAGGATGGCTTAAAACTTTTTGAAACTGAGACCGTTCTGTCTTTGGAGATGAGAAAATGCAAAACCAAAGCTGACCCAGACTCCGTCACTGAAGTTTGTCCATTAATTATTCCCTGATGAGCACTGCATTATTGTAAACCTCTTTAAAACAGAGACCTCTGAAGATGCAACAATTTGTTGCTATATATTTATTTATTTTTCAGAGTCTTTTGAAGAGTTACTTTCCTGTTCATGGGTACGATACACTTCCAGAGGCTGTCTTACCAAGCCAAATAAGCAGTAAAGTGACAGTGACACAGAAGTAAGTTACAGAATACGCTTTATCAGGAATAGCTGGAAAATACTTGTCAGTATTAAAATCTGTATAAAAATCTGAAAACTTTTATTGTTATTCCTGTAATTTCATGAAAGGAAAATATTAATAAAAGCAAATATTAGCATTTAATTTGGATGTTTACATCTTTTAACATACTTTACTGTGCAAAAGAGTCACCATAAATTTTTTATATTTTGTATGTATAGTATACTGCTATAAAGGATACATAAATTATCTGTAATTAATAATTACAGATAACTAACCCAGTGACAGTGTTCTATTGTGTGTTTTGCTATATGTATACTTTTACAGCAGTGGCATTGTGTTTGGGATCATTGCCATGCTGAAAAAAAAATTGATGCATTTTAGATGGTATTGCATGGTGGTATTTTCTGTTATATATTAAAAGTGTTTGAAAAATTTGATTGGTGACATACAGTGACACACTCTGATTGCATGGCAGGGCACAGTTTGTGATGGACTGCACAATCCAATTTCATTTATATCTTTATTGTATATTTTTTTGCCATGATGACAGATAAGGCTCTGCCTCCCCAGCTTCTCCTGACCACATGACAGTGGTTGACAACAATATGAAACAAAAATTATCAAATTTGGATCACTCCAGAAAACCTGTTGCCACATAATACCACATTCTTTCCTCCCTTGCCTCTTTCCTTAAGAATTACTTCTTGATAGTCATCCTTTTTACATCCTGGAAAAAGAACAGTTTAAATACTGGGTGAAGCAATGCCAGGCTGTAGCAGATGAAAAAAAAGTACTTCTTCAGTATTGTTATGTCAGACTTTGTTTTCTATTTCTAGAGTTCTTAAAAAGAAGATTCAGGAGGACAAAAATGGACGTTTCATGGAGAAAGACAAACGTATACTGGAGGAGCTGAAGAGCTTGCATTGTGACCCACACCCCTACATTAAGATCTTTCCATCAGAAAGAGACTTCAGTAAGTGGAATTTTTAATTTCAGTTTCCATTTCTTTAATTTATTTGGAGTATTCTGATTCTGTTACTGATGATCAAGACTGTTCACATACCGAAACATATGTTCATTGTCATCATAACACATTCCAAAGTAGCATATTACTGTAATCAAATTACAGTTTTTAGTAATGCAGTAAAATAACACATTGTTGTACTAAATTTAGTAATCATCTTCCAGTTACAATTGTGTCAAAGTAAAGTGTAAAGTGTGCGTGTTAGTCCCCATAGGGAAATAGTTCCTCTGCATTTAACCCATTCACCCAGTGAAGCAGTGG